TATTTTGAATGGCTTACGTTTTTCGACTCGAACACCCAATGCGATTTGCCATCGTCATCAACATAGTTCCACCAACGCAGTCCGACCAGAAGTCTGCCCGATATATTCTTCACTGTCCAGAAGTCGGCGGATAGAAATAGCACAACGAATACAAAGCTAGTAATGAAGGAGTCACTGAACCAGCCGCAGAACATGTAAATGACGATTGATGCGCCGCGGAAGAACAGGTGAAAGAAGGTGACATACGGATGCCTAGCAGCAGACGCAGGTTAACGCAACGCATACACACATTTTACGCTTTTATTGCTTACGTGTATTTCTGGGCCGCAGTGCTGGGATCGCGCATTTCGTCCTCCTCACCAAAAGGTATCGTATCATCGTCTAGCAATGGCACCTGTGCAAAACATTTAGTTAGTTAATGTTTGCAACTTAGTCACAGAATTTGGGCTTGGATGCGATTAGATGCTGTTAGTTTTTAACGTTGTCTGGTTTTTGTGGTAGTTGCAGACGAAACTTCTGCGCATTAGTTGTTAGTGTGGCATACATACATTTCTTACCGTTGCGGATGCCATGATTTAATTGTGGCTTGACTAACTGTTTACTAATTTAAATGAAAAATTGTTTAATTATAACTTAATGCATATTTTTTTGCTTGCTGCCTGCGTAGTTTTTTATCGCACTGTGGCAGCATATCGATAAGTTATCGATAATGATGAGTGCTGGTGTGGCAACGCCAACGTCATAATTGTTTACTTTTTGCTGATAATAGCAGAGAGCGGTCTTCTGAGTGCGAGTTTATTGCCTGCTCCTGCTTTAATTTTTCCATAAATGAGCGTTATTGATAAGCATGTCAATAGGCATATATAGAAAGAGCGGCAACCAACAGTTGCAGCTTACCGAGCGCTGGCTGCATTGGCGTTCACATTGATAAAAAGCAAGTTGATAAGCCAAGCATACGGAGCGGAAATACAAGTTAAAAGCGGACGGCACAAAAACAGAAATCAGTTGCGAGCAAACCGCCCAGCAAAACAGACGTACAAAAATCGCCAAGTGCTTAAGTAAGGAGGCCCGCAAATGAATGAATGAACGTGCGAAGACGACACGACAAGTGCAAGAAACGAGTTACGATAACAACACACAAAACACAGAAGAAGCGTTCAGATTTAGACACACTTAAAAAGAGAGAGAGAGAGAGGTCAGCGATCTTTAACCAGCTCCAAGCTCCTCCTAAACAGCGTCGGCATCACCATTAGCAGCCCATGCCTGGTGCGTGTGCTTTTTTAAACAAAACAAAATAAAACATTCGATTTCAAGGGTAGACGCAGAAGCAACGTGTGTATATCAGCAGCTAGCCAAGTGATTCAGCTGCTCAGCGTAGTCGCAGTCAGCCAAGTAATTATCGTGTACTGAGGTGAGTGGCACACACAAATACACACGTTGGCAAGCACCGTTAACCAGAACTCTGCCGATGCATGTATGTGTGCGTGGAGAATTTTGGTGACGTCAATAAGAATTTCGCTCAGTTTGGCCCAATTTTCACTTTCCAGCTCCAGAGCAGTCGTTAGTACAAGCTTGCAGCGTACGGTTCGAAAATGGCACCACCAACTGTCTTAGTTACTGGTGGCGCGGGCTACATTGGCTCACACACAGTGCTGGAAATGCTGAACGCTGGCTACAATGTCATCTGTGTGGACAATCTGTGCAATGCCTACAGCGGAGGTGCCTCAAAGCTGCCCGAGGCACTGAGTCGTGTACAGGAAATAACCGGCAAAAAGGTTCACTTCTATCGCGTGGACATAACAGATCGCGAGCAAGTCCGCTCCGTATTCCAGGAGGTGAGTTGTAGCAGCCAAAGTGGCACGTCAGCAAATCGCCAGCATGTTGATGAATTGGATATATGTGGCACATTTCATACGAAAAGTATTCCATCTTTCTTATCACAATTGCTAACGCTATCAGCGCTCAGCGTTTGTTTACTCAGCTGGCGCACACTTGCGACGCGCCCCGCGCCAACGATCGCTAAGGCATAGGCGTGACCTCGGCCACATAACTTGGTGTGCTGGCAAGCGACTGCGTCAACATTGACGTTGCACTCGATGCGGCGACAATCTGATTGCTATTATACTAATCTTTGGCTACTGTTTTTATTTTTAGCACAAAATCGACATGGTTGCCCACTTTGCGGCTCTCAAGGCTGTTGGGGAATCCTGTCGCATACCGCTGCAGTACTACCACAACAATATGACGGGCACCAATGTCCTGCTGGAGGCCATGGCCGATAATAATGTATTCAAATTTGTGTACAGCTCGAGCGCCACCGTTTACGGTGAACCCAAGTTTTTGCCTGTTACTGAGGAGCATCCAACGGGCAATTGCACATCACCCTATGGCAAAACCAAATATTTTACAGAGGAAATACTGAAGGATCTGTGCAAGTCAGATAAGGTAGGACCAATCCGTAACTTATTGCCTTGTTCCCTTTAAACTAAACATTCTCTATTGGCAGCGTTGGGCAGTTGTTTCATTACGCTACTTCAATCCCGTGGGCGCCCACATAAGCGGTCGCATTGGCGAGGATCCCAATGGTGAGCCCAACAATCTGATGCCGTACATTGCCCAGGTGGCAGTTGGCCGTCGTCCAAAGCTCAGTGTCTACGGCAGCGATTTTCCTACCAAGGACGGTACTGGCGTACGTGACTACATACACATTGTGGATCTGGCTGAGGGTCATGTCAAGGCCTTGGACAAGCTGCGCAACATTGCTGAAACAGGCTTCTTTGCCTACAATCTTGGCACCGGTGTTGGTTGCTCTGTGCTGGAGCTGGTGCATGCTTTCGAACGTGCCTCCGGCAAGAAAGTCAACTATGAGCTGGTCGATCGGCGTTCAGGAGACGTTGCCACTTGCTATGCGGATGCTCAATTGGCATATCGTGCGCTCGGCTGGAAGGCGACACGCGGCATTGATAAAATGTGCGAGGACACGTGGCGCTGGCAGAGTCAGAATCCCAATGGTTATGCCAATAAATAGTTTCTGGCAGTTTCTCATATTGATGCGTTCTTGCCTTCCACGTGGCAAGGTCGTCGTTCTGTAATCGTGCCACGTTCTTTCTGCTATCCTGTTTTGTTATCAACTGCTTCTTTCTACAAGTTCCTCAACCGCTCCTCAAACTTCAGTTATTTGTAATTATTCTAATTAGCAAAACGCGTACAACTAGTTGTTTATAATTTGTTTGTCAGAAGTGCAAAATGTTACAAAATTTGATGTATGTATGTGTCTGTGTGCATGTAAACCCAAAGTACATGGTAATAAAAAACAACAAGCTGCACCTTACGACATTTTTACTATGATTAGCTATCGCTACAGTGCGACTGCAAGGTGAAGGTCAAATTCAAGGTAACTGCTTCTAGAGGCAAACATTTATTCAATGCAATTAAACATTTAAAAACTGATTTTAAAAATACTTAATAAATGTGTATACATATTAAAAAAAAACACATCTGCACAAGTAACGGCATTTATCACAATTATGTAATATTTAGTTTCAACAACTATGCGTGTTTTTGGAATGCTGCTGATTGTATAAGAGCTGTGGCTTGTTGCATACATACATATGTATATATTTGATAGGTGTATAAAAGTACAAAATTGTTTATATTAATATTGACGTATTTACGAGTGTGATTCACTATTCAATACGGGCTGAGAATGTACATGAGAAATTTGTTTTATACATTTTTTAATGCTTTAGAAATCGGGCAAAAATTCAGCCCGTTGTTGAACTTAGCTTATGTTAACATATTGTATATTTTGTTTGTTGTGTGTGGCCTTTAGTTTTGGTAATTTTCTTTATACGGTTTCTTGGCAAATCGTACAACGAGCGGAGAATATAACAACCTAGTTCGGGGGTTTTAGCTATCAACTTAGGCCAAGTCAAAGAAACAGAAATTTAACAAGAAGCTTTTCTACTGCTACATTCACATATGCATCTATGTTTTGTTACGAATACAGCTAAATATGTGCGCGATATGCATAGTGTAAAGGTAAGTATATATGCTTATATATATATAAATAAGTATTCGAGTAGTTTCCAAAGAGCGCTAATAAGAGATCCTTAGCAATGAGAGGCAATGAAGTACTAGATAGTAAATTTATATACCGCTTGAATGCTGCTGCTTGTATGGAATTGGGGACCAGCCAATATAATTATGTGGATGTGACACCCTTGCGTGCTACTAGCATATTAAGTATCGGGTTTTTTCGTATATAGCTAACTGCCTTTTTATGGGTGACCATTGTGAAGTCGTATCCGTTGCATTGCAGTATCTTGTCATGTATGCGTAGACCAGCTCGAGCAGCTGGACTACCTTCGTGCACCTCCGTCACGTATATGCCCTGGAGCGGTTTTATGGTAGATTAGTATATAAGAGCATCCAATATATAATACGTACATAGTCCGTATAGCCTTGTGGACTCTTCTTGTAGTCCTGATCGATTCCGCCACCTATTTTAAAGCCACACTTCAATATCTCTCTGCCCTCCTGGTCGTAGTCCGTTTCCTTATGCAGCGTTATGGGTATCTATCGCGGGGAAACATCATAAATAATAACTGGGTAACAGTGTGAAAGTCTGTTTATGATGCATCTCTATGATATGCGACCCAATTTCACGAACACGAATTACACACACACACACACACGCACCCACATACAGGAAGAACGCTGTTGCTACCTGTGCATGTGTGTGTCTAAAATTTACAACTTACGCTCAAACATTCCATAGCCGTGCCGGCCTGATGCTGAAATGCCATCTTCGCCATGATGTTGTTGTTTTAGTTAAATTTCACTCAAGAAAACGATTGAAATTGTTATTTGCTTGTTATTTTGCGCAAATGAGAAACTGAGTCGCCGTCTTCGCGTACAAACACAAACTGCTTATTCTCTACTGCAACACAAATGAGCAGTGTTGGTAAGCGCAGAAATCAAATCAAAAAATTATTTGTTGTTTCTTTTATTACATTTACATAAATAAACAATAGCTTGGAATTGATTAAAATATTTCGATTTAAGAACGCCTCATCGCCAACATAGTATTAATTTCCCATATTATTATGCGCGTTCTATCAATAATCTCTCTTAATTGTCGGTTTTTCAGCTTCACAGTTTCGATTAGCTCCTGGTTCTCCTGCAATACCTTTCGATATTCGTCACATTGCGATGGCTCTATACGCGGATCGGGCTCATCCCTGTAGGGTATTAAGCTTTCGGCGTTCATGTAATCCATGCCTGCATCATTACACTTCTCATAGATGATGCGCACCCGTTTGAAGAGCAACCTTATAGTGCGAAAATATTCCTGAACCTTTTTCTCCGTGTTATTGTCTCTGTGAGATGTAGGCTGTATGTTCTTTAGTGCTGAGAAGACCTCTTGGAATCGAGACGCAATATCCTGCACTGTCTCTTGGCCCAAGCGCGAAAGCTGTACTATATTGATTTCCTTGTGCGGATTCGGTTGAGATATTGCCAGCATGTTGTTGCCGCCGCCACCTCCGCCAGCTGCACTGGTGCCTGGATTGTGTTGCTGTTGTTGTTGAGGCATATTGGCTTGTTGTTGCTGTGGGCCACCACCGCCACCCATGCCCACTCCCTGCTGAGGACCCATCATTTGCTGTTGCATTGCATTCGCTTGCTGCTGCGGCATATTTGACATCGGTACGCCGACGCCACCTTGCATCATTTGGTGTTGTTGCTGCATTTGGTGTTGCGGCGACATACCCATGCCTTGCATTAAACCAGGCGGTCCACTTCCAGAACCTGGATTGGGATTAATTTGCATGCTACCGGGTCCGCCCGGTCCACCTCCGCTCATCATGTTCATTTGATGCTGTTGTTGTTGCTGGGGCGACATGTGCATGCCGGCTCCTCCCTGCATAAAACCACCCATAGGCATCATGTTCGGTCCCCCTCCACCTTGCGGACTTTGGTTCATCTGATTTTGACCAAATTTCCACATTTTACAAACAACTATAAAGCCGGAGGCAAACAAAAACAATAAAAACTGGCTGGTTTACCAGCACTAACCGTGAAAGAGTTGCCACTTATCGAAATATCGAATAAAAGAAACAATCGGCCATCGTTTTATTTTAACCAGCCACAGGTACTTATCGGACAAGTTTACGCTGTTTCTGAGTTTTAAATTTTTGGCTACCCAATTTTGGTAGCGCGCTGCAATGACCCGCGAAGAAGACAATGGATTTAGTGATTGGGTAAGTTAAGGAAAAGAAAACAACTTAAAGCAGCGTCTAAAATAACTCTTGCAGGGTGGTTACTTTGAAGCGAAAAAGGCAAAGCTCGAGGAGCAATTTGCGGCCGCTAGCGATCCATTTCGGAAGTCAAATCTCTTTGATGGCATTTCGATTTTTGTAAATGGCCTGACCAATCCTTCAGCCGACGAGCTCAAGCGTATTATGATGGTACATGGCGGCACATTTCATCACTATGAACGGTCGCACACGAATTTCATCATTGCGTCCAATTTGCCGGATGTGAAGGTGCGTAAAATGGACACCAGTCGGATAATTAGTGCGCAATGGGTAGTAGATTGTGTACAACAGATGCGTATTGTCGACTACAAGCCGTATTTGTTGTATACCAATCAAAAAACTACTCAGCCGCGTCTAAATTTTGGGAAGGGTAAAAACAACGATTCAACAGTGTCCGAAGGATCGGCCACCCTGGAGAGCGCCCTGGGTGGCATACTTAAGGAGCTACAGCAGGCTGTGGCCACTTCGCCCGACAAAAACTCATCCACTGTGACCAATGTGTCCGCTACGACGACAAGTACCAGCAACAGCGCACGCACTGCCGTCGATCCGGCATTCCTCAGTGAGTTCTACAAAAACTCGCGTTTGCATCATATTGCAACGCTCGGTTCCGGTTTCAAGCAATATGTTTGCGAGTTGCGTCAGGCGCATGGCAACAAATCGTTTGTGAAGCGCACCGAACTCCGTTCACAACTAGGTTGCAAGCAGCCAGACATTTCGATAACGACTCCAAAACGTTATGTTATGCATATTGATATGGACTGCTTCTTTGTATCTGTGGGTCTGCGGAAGCATCCAGAGCTTCGTGGCCTGCCCCTTGCTGTAACACATTCCAAAGGTGGAAGCGCAGCCACCGATGTGCCCGTGCACCCACAGGCTGACCGTCAAGTTGAACAGGAGTTGTTTGCCCAACGTTTTGAGCACCTTAAACACGACAACATACGAGCGGACAAGGTGCGCTACGGTTTTGAAAAGAAAATGTCGCTGTCGGAGATTGCTTCATGTAGCTACGAGGCGCGTGAAAAAGGTATTAAGAATGGCATGTTTGTTGGCCAGGCGCTCAAGCTATGCCCCGACCTCAAGACTATACCGTACGACTTTGAGGGCTATCGAGAGGTATGCATCGCGTTTGGTTAACGTATCAGGTTCTCTGGTAATGAATGCCTGTCATTTCAGGTGGCGTTTGCTCTGTATGATACTGTGGCACAGTACACGCTCAATATTGAGGCTGTTAGCTGCGATGAAATGTTTGTGGATCTGACGGATTTGGTGCAAGAACTACAAGTCGATGTAATGACGTTTGTGACACATCTGCGCCAGGAAGTGCGTGATATAACTGATTGTCCTTGCTCCGCAGGCGTGGGTGGCAATAAGTGAGTAAAGCTGAATGACTATCTAAATTTGGAACTTATTACGCACGTTTATATTAACAGACTGCTGGCTCGCATGGCTACCAAGCTGGCGAAACCTAATGGACAGCATCTGCTGGACACTGATGATGCGGCCAAATATATGGCGCCCTTTGCGTTAGATATCCTGCCTGGTGTGGGCAGCAGCATGACCTATAAGCTCAATCAGGCAGGCCTTATCACATGCGCTGATGTTCAGTTGGTATCGCTGGTGCGCCTGGAAATGCTACTGGGCAAGAAAATGGCACAAACACTATACCAAAACTGTCGTGGCATCGATCCACGTCCTCTAGTCTATGAACAGGTAAGACCTTTTTATATCCATATTATTTTACTATCCATAATATATCCACTTTTCTTCTAGCAACGCAAATCTGTCTCTGCTGAGGTCAATTACGGCATACGTTTCACCAAGAACGAGGAGCTGGAGAAGTTTCTACAGCAGCTTAGCATCGAAGTGCACAGCCGTCTGGTCGAGATAAAGCGCAAGACAAAATTGATAACTTTGAAGCTGATGGTGCGTGCTGCAGAGGCGCCTGTTGAAACATCTAAATTTATGGGTCACGGCGTCTGTGACAATCAGACAAAGTCTTCGCTGCTGAAGCAAAGCACCGACGATGTTGAAGTAATTATGTCAAACGTGCTCAAGCTAATGAAAGAGTCTGGCTTCCCGCCACATGAGCTGCGTGGCATTGGCATACATTTAGGCAAGCTGGATGATATAGTCGATTCGAAAAAGGAGAATGTCATCAAGAATATGTTTTTCAAGATGTCGGAAAAGCAAAAGGGTAGGCCGAATTTCTTTTGTCATTTGTTTCAAAATTGACAGTTTTTGCCAATCCAGAGAAAACTGTAAATGAAGCAGTGTCAATCAAGGAGCCAGTAGAGACTAAAGCAAAGTCGGCAAACGTGAGTGTCCTCAGCATGTTGCAGAGCGCAGCAGTCAACAAGAAGTCATCCGCTTTTGAGCCCATTCCGGTGGGAATATCAACAAGCTGCAACGCGAATGAATCGCTAGTGGTACCACCAGCGGAGACACGCAAGCAGCCTATGGAAAAGAAAGCGAAACCACCAGAAGTAAATGTTCTCACAATGTTGAAGAACGCCCCAACGGCTAAGAAAACGGGTATTCAGGCCATTCCGTCAGGAGAGACAATAGTTTGCAGCGAGTACGCTCCCCCGCCTCTTGCTCCCCCAGCCATTACACAGTTTGATGTAGATGTTCTGGCGCAGCTGCCAGATGAAATACGACGCGAGATACTCTGCTATCCCGAGGAGTATTTACGCATGACCAAGAGCACCGTGCACGGCAAAAGAGACATCCAAGCCAAAGACCACGAGGATAAAGCCAACAAAAAGAAGCGGAAGTCGCGCTCACGGTCCAGATCCCGTTCGTCATCGCCTCCACCGCCGCCACCGTCGATGCGGGTTGCGTGTCCTACCGCGAGTTCTTTAAATGAGAGCGACCTGCAGCCCTCCACCTCGAAGGCGGCCTTGGCCAAGCATAAGAAGCGCGTCTGTCGTGCTGATCAAATTGTGGCTAACTATGTACAGGAGCTGCCACAGCACATGCATCCCGCCATCTTACAGTATCTCACAGCAAACAATACTATATCAAAAGTTCCTCCTGCGGCGGATGTTGTGGCGCCGGTTGCCAAGCAACCTGTTAACCCTGCGCAACATGAGAATGTGTTTGTGGATCCTAATTATAAAAATATGCTGGCCACTTGGGTCAAATCGGAGGAGGTGCCCAAACCAGCCGATGTGGACTTAATGTACATGAACATTTGTTATTTGGTGGAAGAGAACAAAATGGATAAAGTCTACGAGGTCATGAAGTACCTGTGTCGCCTCATCAAAGCCAAACGCGCCAGCTGTTGTCGCTGGCACATGGCGTACAATGAGATCGAGTCGAACATACAGGAAAAAGTGCATGAGATATTGGATTGCCACATCTATTTTACGGAGGCGATCGACTGTTACAAATGTGCCTAATCCGGGCTTTAAGTTTTAAAGAATAAATAACTTAGACCTAAAGTACAAATGTTCCTTAGATATAGTTTGTGAATGCCAAGTTCATATAGCTGATGTTTATATTCATATATATGTATGTATAAAATGACTAAACCAAAGCTGTTAGCGCCAGTTGCTTTTATTGTTGGCCCATAAATTTATTTATAAATCTCTGAAAGCCAGAAGAGCGGTAATTAATGTCGTAAAAGCAGCAGCAGCAAAAACAGTAGGTAATAATCGCACAATGACGATGGCGTTGATAACTTTATATATAAAAGGGCGGCTTGGTAGTCGCATCTGAGCCGGCTAAAGACAAATAGGCCAGGCCAACACCTGGCGGAACTGGCAAGTCATAATTTGCACTTTAATGAAAGCGTCGTTGGCCGCAACCAACAGGTAAAGTCACTGCAGTTAATCGCCAACGACGCGACGCGACGTCGATTGCCAACCGGCGCAGTAATATGTAATTGATTCGCATGCCTGCGACTAGCCCCAGCCCCAGCCTCAGCCTCAATCTCAATCCCAGCCCCAAGCTGCTGGCTTCAGCTCCACAGCCCCACTTGACAAACTATAACAATTACAGTGCCAGGCAGCAACCCCACACCGCACAGATGCAACTGTGGCGCAGAGATTGAGTGCAGCAGCAGCAGCTGTTTGTTGCCTTTGCCACTGACAGTGGTAATTAAAAATAGTCAAGCTGCATTTCTTGCGCCGCATCCGGTTGAGTCTCAGCCTCCGTGGGCTGGGCCAGTTTCCCTGGATTTACATGAGCTGCGCTTTGTCTGATTTAATTATGTGCGCAAAAGGCGTCGTTGTTTCATAAATTTTATGCATCCTGTCGCCGCCGCCGTCGCTTACACACAGTAGTCCACGCCAAGCCGAGCGTCCAAGCAAGGTCCCAAGCCAACAGTAGCCGGTCTGTGTCTGGTTTTACACACATAAATATGATCTTGTCTGAGTCGAGCTTCAACCGGCAACCAGATGCAAATGTTTTCAAGTTTTGATAGACTTGTTGGCAGCGCCAAACAGTTGCCAACATGATTTGTCAATGATGCCCACGGATGTACGCACGCTGCCAGCAGCCAAGGTGCGCCTGGCCAGTCTAACCAGCCTGATCAATGCCAACAAATTCTGTGAAAACAGGTCCGATATTTCCTGTGAAATGCATTTTTAAATGCGTTTCTATTTGGTCTATAACATGTCTTTCTCACATATTCACCCACACTCTCTTATAATTCCTTACCCACACTCAATCCTTAAGCCTTACTTGAAATCATGAAAATCGCATAGAAAGGCGACATTTTA